ATGTGAAAATAGAGGCAGAGGTTGGAGGGATGCCACTGCAGGCCAAGAAAGGCCAAGGATCTCCCGCCACCACCAGAAGCTAGAAAGGATTCTCACCTGGAACCTTCACGGGGAGGAGTATGGCTCTGCCAGCACCTTCACTTGAGACTTCACTCCAGAACTATGAGAGAATAAATTTCTCATATTTTAAGCCACCCAGTTTGTGGTGCTTAGTCATACCAGTCCTAGGAAACTAACATACTCCAGCTTCTGGCACATCCCCTTCTCCAGTTTCTCCAACTCCTGGACTGAGTGTGTGTATAGTTCCAGGGTAAAGGGTTCCAGCTTCTCCTACATGCCACCTATAGCATCAATGTTGGAGGAGAGGGGAGACAGACACAGGTTCCAGTTAGTCTTTGTAGGTAACAGTTGTCTACATCGGTCCTAGTTTGCCCCTGCTCTTGTCCACATCCAACTTTCCTTCCCAACTTCCAGTATAGCAACTACAGGCTCAGCACTAGACATAGAGGCAAATGCCTGCATGAACTGCCCTGCCTTTATTCTCACAATAATTCTTATAATAATTGCCTTTAATTCTTATAAATTAATTGCTTTTAATTCATACAATTGTCATTGATTCTTAAAATAATTCCCCTATTACTTTGTTGCTTGTGCACATGGTGGTTCTGCTTCTGTGATCAAACTCAAACAGACTGTTTTTTAAATTAAGTAAAAATGAGTTGAATGAAACCAATCCTGCTATCCAGTTCCTTTCAATATATATTAGAATATATTAGGTTTTAAGATTAATAGCTAACATTTATTGAAGACCTCCTAAGTGTAGGGTGCTGTGCTAAGTTTTTTTATAGCATCTCATTAAACTCTCAAAACAACCTTATGAAAAAGGTACTATTACTAGACCTATTTTACAAATGCTTACAAAAGTAACAGAGGCTTGAACTCTTAGAGTGATGAAGTAATTCAACCAAGTCAGAAGTCACAGCCAGAGTCTAATTATAAAACAGGAGTTCTCAACCACCATATAATACCTCTACTACAAATTCATTAGAACTGAAAGAAATTGTGTCTTTTCATGGAATCTTAAGGACCCTTACTCTTCCCCCACATACACACACAAAATGCATTTTCATGACTTCAAGACATTTTCCTTAATCTTCCCCTTTTCTCAAGAACTTTCCTACTGTCATCCCCAGTCTTGTGGTACAATGGAAACAAAATTTCAAGTCAGACACACTGGGGTTTGAATGTCAAATTATCCATTACCTACTACCAAACTTTTTAGATTTCCTAAACCTCAATCTTATTTATAAAATACCTATGATATTCATGTAAAATAATATTTAATAGTCACTTATGTACATGTGTGGATTCCCCTGCTAGTTTATGGATATTCAGCTTTTAAAAACTGTAACCCACAGTAAGAATATATATTTGCATTGCAACTCAATTCACACATACACACACACACACACACACACGCACGCACGCACACGCACATAACTGAAATAAGTTTCATGAGTAGTACTTGCCTTTACTAGTTGTAGTACATATTGACCTATCCTATCCTATCCAATCCTATTCCTTTAGAGATTGGTCAATTCCTCATTAAATTGATTTCATGAAACACAGATGGGTCAACATTGAAAAAAGGCTTGGGTTCTTTTATGTAAGGAGGTGTATTTTGTTTATTTTTTGTTTTGCTACTGGAAAATACAGTTTCTGGCACAAAGTAGGTATTTGGTAAATACTTGCCGTAGGACTGGGTTTCCTTGAGGACAAGAGTCTTGCCTTTGTTACTTTGTATGTATCCCACATTTAGTATAATTTTTACCATAATATTTAGAGGACACATGGCTAAAAATTAGGGCTACTGCCAAGCTTTAGTGATCAAACGTTTGGAAAAATCAGTCTCTGAGAAGCACCTAATACATGGCAATGCAGAAACACCGAATTCCTGGCTCCTTCCCTTAATTATCTTCAAAACAGTGTGGGATCACTGAGGGGAACAATGAATACATGTTGCCCAACTGAGAAATTTTAAAAATGAGTAAGACATACAGAGGCCATAATATCACCTTTATTAATAATAAAGACTAAGTCAGAAAACATATAATAATGTGAGAGTCAGTCTGGCCTGTCAATTAAACCCTCGTCTGAGCCATTGCTGAACTTGGGTAGCCCTCCTTATGCTGAAAGCCTGTGCTAGTAAGACATAAGGCAGCTCAAGAAGAATGTGGGAAGAAATGAGCTCAGCAAAGCCAGTTTATTTTTTCTAAATGTACCAATTAGATAAGTCATTCCTCCCCTCACCAGCCACAGAGGGAATAAAAGAGCATAGAGAGACCAGACGTATTATTACCAATTGAGCTTTCTCCCTTATGGAAGGAAATAGCAGAGAGGGGTAAATGTTCCCTTTGAAAAATCAGATTTATTTATACATATATAAATAATATGTATTATGTATATATAAAATAATAATATAAAACAACCCAAGGAATATCACAAGGTAAATACCTATTTAATTTTTAAATATAGTTGGCACTAGTGTTCCTCAAGTCTGACTGTTCAGCAAAACCTGGAGGATATTAAACAATAACAGACCATTTATACCATACTCTCCACTTTCAGTATGCCCAACATGAAACCAGCGATCTGTTTTTAAAGCTACCTGGGTAATCCCAGTGTACTAGTAAGGCTGAGGCAATTGCCTTAGATGAGCTAGAGAGACAAATGAACAGGAATCACGAGGTTTTCCTGAAGAAGAAATTGGACAGACATTGCAGGATAAGTAGGACTGAGGTAGTCAGAAAGAAAGGAGCAGAGCAGAGCATTTTATTCAGGGGTGAGAACTGTAAGTAGAACTATAGAAATAATTGTGGCTCAAGTTACCTCAAACCTTATTCTTGAAAACCCTTACAGAATTTGTCTTTAGAAAAATGATCTATGCTAATATATAGCAAATGATAAGACATATGGCAGCATGGTTTTGTGGAAAAGCTCTTGGACTTTTGAGTTAGGAGTCTTTGTTTCCTGGCTGGGTGAACTTGTCCCAGCCACAACATCTTTACCCAGACATTTAAGAATCATTTGTAAAGACAGGAGTTTCTATAGCATTGCGTGGGGATGGTCGCACAGTCTTCCCCATTCCAGGAAATGGCACTGCCATTCACCTTGAAGCTATGGCTAAAAACCTGAGTCATTTTTTCTTTCTTTTTCTCACCAGTCTCCACATCTAATCCAGCAACTAATCTTCATGATTTTCCTTTCAAAACATATCCCTGATTTGTCCACTTTTCACTTTATTGATTACTACCCTAATTCAAGACAACACCTTTTACGTGGATTACTCCAGAGTTTTGGAATCAATAGGTCTGGGGTAGGGCCTGAGAACCTGTGTTTCTCACAGGTTCTCAGGTGATGCTGATTCTGTTGGACCAGAGACCATTCATTCAGAATCACTGCTTTAGAATAATGGTTCTTAATGGTGGGATTCACAACAGTTATCAGCTGATCTTTTAATAACTACTGTGCTTGTGCCTAACCTCACCAATATTCATTTATTTGGTATGGGGATGAGGGCTGGCCATTTGTAAGTTTCAAATCTACGAATGATTTGAAATGGACATCCAGGGCTGAGAAACACTATCAAGGCTTAGAGATATGGCTGAGTTTATTTGCTCCTTGTAGCTTTTGCACTAGCTGCTCCCATCACCTGGTACACTCTTCCTCTTAGGTCTTTCCATGGCTGAACCCTTTTTGTCATTTAGGTCTCATATTAAATGACACTTTCTCCTGTAGACCTTCCTTGATCCTCTCATCTAAACACCCCTATTATGAAAAAATACAATAAAAAAATGAAGTATTAAAAATATATAACACCCCTATCTTTATCACACTGTCCTGTTTTCAACTTAAGAATTAGCATTTCCCAAGATTTTCCTATTTATGTGTATTGTCTGTATCTTCCAACTATAATAAGCATTTTGAGCATATACCTTTGCTTGTCTTATTATACTCTATCTCCAGCACTTACAATAATGCTTGGCTCTGCTGGATATTCAACACACGTGAAGGGAAGAGAGATAAAAGCCTTTAAAATAAATTCGTCCAGTTCTTCTATGTTCTTTTCCACTCTTCAACTAGATTTTTAATAAAACTTTATTTATATAATAAAATTCAACCCTCAATGAAAGATGCATCAATTTATATTTTATAAATACATCTTAACTGCACTGTAATCACTCTCTTCATAAGAACCCTGTATTAATCTTTTGCAAAGTCATTATCCCTTAATATTTCATATCTAGTATATATTTGTTTATAATACTGTTGCGTAGGGAATACAGGTCACAGAGTAAGGCAGCTGGGTATGGTCAGGATATATTTATTAAATCAAGGGATTCCTACACAGATTTTGTTTGCTTTTGGAGAGAGGACAATGTAAAGGAATTTGTAGAACATAAAAGTTTTGGAAGGTGCAAGAGAATGAGGAAAACGTCAAGGCTGTATGTGGTTCCTTCTAAAAGTGGCCTACACATTTATTCTTTCCTCTTTTGGGGGTACCTGTTTAAAAAATGAATGTAATCTATCAGAATTGAGGACTTCTAATTTCACGTAGAGACAGAATACTGAACGTTATTACAGTGCCCTGTTTCACAGTCGTTTGTTCAAGCCAGTGCAGCAAAATTTTCAGCTCTGGGTCGTCTGTCGCTTGTTCTCAAGGATGTAGCATGGGTTAAATTGACAACTACGATAAACTGAGGGCAAAGCGGATGTCCTTAAATCCACCGCGGACCATTTCTTAAAATATAGTACCTGTGAAAACAAAGAACAACATCTGTTACAGGAAGAAAAGGGAGATTCCATGCCTCTGGCCAGTTTCTTTGGCAGAAACGCGAGTACTTCCTCAAAAGTCCCAAGTGTACAACTTTCCAACTACATAGCCCAGGTACAGGGCTAGGTTCATATGCAACCAGTTTTTCAGGCAGCTGCCACTCCTTTCTTTCCTCTCCGTGCTTCGTCATTCATGGTTTTAAACAAGCGCCTTTGTACGTGGAATAATGGTTGAAATCAGTCTGGCGCTTTGGCACAGCCAATTGAGGGGGTTCTGAGAACACAAAACTCCCAGTCGGTAGACAGTGCTTGTGGCTTGAGAAACACCAAAGACAGAGAGGGAACGAGCGAGGGAGAAGCAAAGCAACTGGGAGGTGGCGCATTCTGGGAGTTGTAGTTCCTATAGCTCAGTATTCCCAAACCTCCACGGGACTCTGGACTTCATTTCCCAGCCGCCTCTGCGCCGCGGAGGCGGCAAGGGGTGGGGACTCTCGATGAGGGGTTGCGGCAGGGGGAGGGGGCCTGTGACTTGGGAGCAGCTGTAGCGGCTGCCAGGAGACGTTATCTGCCGTTCTTGAGGGCCGAGGGAACCCTCGGGGCGCGCCGCCGCGACGGCCGTGTGATCGCCGCGCGTGCCTGTGCTTGCCCTCTCTCCAGTCCACAGGCTCGTGGTGTCCGCCATGGAAACGCATCCGGCCGCCGTCGGGATCTTCGGGCGCCGTGTCCCCGGCTCCCGGGAGCGATGAGTGGATAGGGGCTCGCCGCAGCACGCCTTCAACCGTGCTCCGCCGACCTGGGCAAGAAGGGTCGGTCGGGCGGTTGGCTGTGGTGTCTGCCCCGCGCCGCCCCGCCCCCTGGGGGCGCTGCCTGCCCCTCGCCTCGCCGCCCCGCCCCCTGGGGGCGCTGCCGAGGGGCGCCCACCTCCCATGCCGCCGGGGAGCAGTGCCCCGCTTGGTGCTCGCCGCTGAAGCCCGGGACCCGCCCGCCGGCCCGCCCGCGCCCGTCGCCGCGCTGCTCTGAGCGGGCCGCCCCCTCACCGCGCCCCCCCTACCCCCGCCCAAGATGTGGCACAACGTTGGGCTGACCCTGTTGGTGTTCGTGGCCACGCTGCTGATCGTCCTGCTGCTGATGGTGTGCGGTGAGTGGGGCATCCGCCGTGGGGCAATTGCACGCTGCGGCACACGCGCCAGCTTTACTAGTGTTGCTGACTTGCGTGTTCTGTCTGGTTAAAAAAAATTTAAGGCTTCGATGGACAAGTGTCTTAAAATCATCTGTTGTCCACTTACCTCTCAGGAGTGACCTCAGAGGAGATGTACCCCTGACCCATGACAGGCCGTCTGGCATCCTGGAGAGGGACAGAACAGGATCCAGGTCTGGGCATCTTCACTGAGGGTTAAACCAGATATTGCTTCACCGTCAGCGTCTGCTCTTGATTGCCTTTCTTACCACAGTCTGCCCAGATTTTAACCTTGGCCTGTATTCGAAGGTGAACTGATTGGTTACTCCTTTTTCTTTTTTTGCAGATTCTTACCCTAAAATAAAGAGAGGTTTTGCTACCTTCATTTAATCAGAAATAGAGTCAGAGCTGGGTTTGAAGCACGTGTGAAGTTGTTTGTTTACTTGAGTTCAGGCTTAAACTAAATTCCAAACAGATATGTTGAGACTAGGTAGACCTTAAAAACATTGGCTATATTAAACTTCCAGGGTCAGGTAACCCAACTCTTAGTTCTGTAATAATAGTGCTATTTTGTTTGCTGTGGGTTTTTTCCTTTTTGGAATGAGAAGACATACAACTTTCTTCTCAAGGTAATATTAGCACAATTTTAGATCTTTTTGATTTCTTTATATACAGGTGTTGATAACCACAAGTGGTCTTTTAGCAGAGTGGCTGAGCAACTGTGAAAATTTGGGAAGTATTTTGAACCAGATATCAAGTAGTGTATTTTTTCATAATTGCTATATTAGAGTATGGTTTCAGGTTAATGCAGTAATTGATCAGAATTCAAAATTAATACCAGGGTGCATTCATTACATGATTAATGTATTAATTGCTCACTATGAAAGTTGTGTTTGGAGAAGATATATGTGTTTGTGCATATGCATAAATATGTATTTATATCTATATGGTTGTATATATACTTCTAATTTCCTTTACTAGGGCACCAGAGTAAAGCTGCTAACTTACAGCCTTTCTTTTCTAATGATAAAGCCATTGAAAAGACTTTATCAATTTCCTGCTTTTGATGTTAGCATTTTGGGTGTTTAGGATTCTTGAAGTAAGGAAAACCAGATCTTTGTGATTTGTTTTGGATATGAGGAAGGAGGAAAGCATATGCTTTCTTTGTAATTTGAAGATGCAGACTACCTGGAGATGGCAAAGTGACATGTAGACCTTGTGACATGTGACAACACCTTTGATAGAATATTTGCCAAACTTGCCTTTGGGACATCAAAGTTCCTAATTGCTGCAAATATCAGACTTGCACGCAGCTCTCAGTTGCTATTTGACTACTCATTTTTTCCTAAAGTGCCCTGTCTTTGGTTTCAGAAAACATTATGGAATTAGAGGTGAGGTGCAGTAAGTAAAAGAACACCTTATTTTGATTGGAATGGTCAAGAACTAATAACATTATGAAGCAATCCAAACATTTTTTTGTTGGGAGAGCTAATGATGAGGAAGCTTCGTGTTTTGACTAGGTTGTCCCTGAGGCTTGAGGAGAGGAGGAAAGGATCCTACCAGACTTGAGAGAGAAACTACGGTACTGTATTAGTTTGCTAGGGCTGCCATAACAAAATACCACAGACATTAAACAGCAGAAATTTATTTTCTCACAGTTCTGGGGGCCAGAAATATGATATCAAAGCGTCAGCAGGTTTGATTTCTTCTGAGGCCTCTCTCCCTGACTGATAGATACCTCCATCTCCCTGTGTCTTAACATGGCCTTTCCTCTGCCCTAATCTTTTCTAGTAAGTACACCAGTTATATTGGATTAAGGCCCCACCCTTATGAATTCATTTAACCTTAATTAGCTCTCTGAAGGCATCTCTCCTTCTAGGCTGCTGAGTGGCTCAGTTGGTCAGAGCGTCCTTGTATACACCAAAGGTTGTTAGTTTGATTCCTGGTCAGGGCACGTACCTAGGATTGCTATTGGATCCTGGATCAGGGTGGGTATGGGAGGCAACTGATGTTTCTCTCTCCCCTCCTCTCTTTAAGATTAGTAACAACTACCACAAAAATCCTCAGGTGAAGATTGAAAAAAAAAATTAAAAGACCCTCTCTCTAAATCCAGTTTACAGTGGAGGTTAGAAGTCTATGACACAGTTATGTGCCATGGAAATCATAGCCAGTTTATTTTAGAACTCTTCCTGGGCACTTACACACAGTGAATTGATTTTCAAATTTCAGATTCCCAGGGAGGTTTTCCTTCTGCCCTCTACATTGGTTGTGTCTACTTTGTCAGACTCTCCTTCATTCTAAAATGTTTTCTACTCCCACCATGCACTGAAGCTGACCTTGTCAAGTTCAGTAACAAATGGCTTCCATAATGCTAATTCTGTAGTCACTTATTAGTTCTAATTGTACTTAACCTCTTATACTAGTGAGCATTCTTTCCATGAAGGACTTTTTCTTTTTTTAAGTTATTTATTTATAAATCATGTTTATTCTATTATAGTTGTCTCAGTTTTTACCACTTTGCCCTCCTCCACCCATCCCACCCAGCTCCCCCAGTCAATTCCCACTCTGTTGTCTCTGTCCATGGGTCATTCATACAAGTTCTTTGTCTAGTCCCTTCTCCTTCTTTCCACCATTGTCCTTCTTCACCATCCCCTCTGGTCACTTTCAATCTGCTCCATGTTTCCATGCCTGTGGTTTATTTTGTTCGTTAATTTACTTTGTTGAATAGATTCCACTTATAGGTGAGATCATATGGTATTTGTCTTTCACTGACTGGCTTATTTCACTTAGCATAATATTCTCCAGTTCCATCCATGTTGTTGCAAAAGGTAGGAGTTCCTTCTTTCTATATTTTTTAAAATGCAGATTGACTTTATTTATTTTTTAAATGTCAAAATCCATTATAAAATATTTAAAAAACTTAAATCCATTTTAAGTCTCAGCAGTTAAAACATGACACCAGCACAGAAATAATCAAGTAGATCGATGAAATAAAATAAGCACTCTAGAAACAAACGTATATATCTAACAATGTAATATATGATTAAATTGATATTTCAAGTGAATGGGGAAAATAAGGCTTATTCAACAAATAAGGTGTATGGACCACTATTACTTGAAATAAAACTAATATAGAGCCCTGTTTCATACATTATGCAAAAAATATTCAGTTGAGTTAAAAATCAATATGTAAAATCTAAGGAGTTTTAGGAGAAAATACAAAATAATATTTTTTTTACCCTGAAGTAAAATATTCAAACCCAGAAGCTATAAATTAAAATATTGACAATATGACTATATTAAATACTTAGTAATATACATATAAAAAAGTTAAAGAAAAGTAATAGAATAGGAAAGTATTTGCAACATTTCTAAAAAAGGATTAACAGTTTTTTTCTTTTTTAGGGAAAAAATTCTACAAATATTTAATCAAAAAATGGATAAAGAATACCAAAAAGTCTTTTAAAGCCTTTTAAAAACAATGAAATAGGCAATAAAAATACAAAAACAGGTTTAGTTTCAACAAATAATAAAGTAACAATTAAAATAACACATCATTGTCACAAAAGTATTAAAAATATTGGTAATACCAGGTGTTGGTGACTGTGAAAGGAACTGGGTATTCATTGACTCTTTTTATTCTTCTTAACGCAGTTCCTTTAGTATATTTTGCAATGCTGGGTTGGTGGAGGTGTATTCTTTTAGCCTTCTTTTGTCTGGAAAACTCCTTATTTTGCCTTCCATTTGAATTGAGAGGCTTGCTGGGTAGAGCAGTCTTGGTTGCAGGCCTTTGCTTTTCATCACTTGGAATATTTCTTGCCATTCCCTTCTGGCTTGTAGTGTTCCTGTTGAGAGGTCAGCTGCTAGCTGTACCGGGCATCCCTTATATGTTACTACCTGTTTCTCCCTTGCTTCCTTTAGGATTCTCTCTGTCTTTGATATTTTCCATTTTAATGATGATGTGTCCTGGAGTGGGCCTCATTGGCTTCCTCTTGAATGGGATCCTCTGTGCTTCCTGGACTTGCATGACTTTTTCTCTCCTGAAATTAGGGAAGTTTTCTGTCATTACTTTTTCAAACAAGTTCTCTATCCCTTCCTCCTCCTTTCTCCTTCTGGTATCCCTATTGTACAGATATTATTACATTTCAGGTTGTCTTGTATTTCTCTAAATGTCTCTTCATTCTTTTTGAGTCTTTTTTCATTTTCTTGCTCTTTCTGGGAGCTTTTTCCACTTTATCCTCCAGCTTGCTGATTCGATCTTCTGCTTCATTGAGCCTGCTATTGATCCCTTGTACTGTGTTCTTCAATTCAGAAATTGTATTCTTCAATTCCTCTTCCCTTATTGATAGTTTCTGTGTCATTTTTCATGCTGATATAGTTTGCAATAAGTTCCTCGTAGTTTCCCTGTAGATTTTTGTAATTCTCTCTGAGCCCACTGAGCCTATTGAGCTTCCTTAGAACCGTTGTTTTGAACTCAGTATCTGATAGTTTACTTGCCTCTATTTTATTTAGTTCTCTTTGTGGGGATTCCTCCTTTCCCTTTGACTAGGGGGCGTTTCTTTGTCTTCTCATTATGTGTGAGACTCTTCTTTTTTGCTTCTGCCTCTTAAATTAATCTGTCGTGACTTCCTGACTTTGTGGTGTGAACTTCGATGGCAAGACCACTGTGTTTTCCTTCTGAATCTGACTCTGATGATGTCAGATGTTGACCCTGTCTGACCTTAGGTGGTCTGTTCGAGATTTCCAGGAATCTATTGTCTCTGGCTGTCTCCTTCAGCTGTTAATTTAGTCACTCTGCACTCAGCAGTCAGGCTTAGACACCACAGGGCAGGGCAGTGCCCCTTCTGGGGGCATGGTTATTGGGTCCTCTCAAGCTGCTACCGCTCAAGGAAGTGGTCTGCCTGAGCCAGATGGCTGCTGCCTTATAGGGGAGGAGTCAGCAGCAGGATCCCGCCAGCTAC